TTTTTGCGCAGGCATCCTCCGCCGTGCCCCCACGCTGCCCAGCTCTGGGAAGGGGGGAGGGATAGCCCCGGAGGGCAGCAGGGGAAATCGGTCCTGGCTTTGTCTTTCCTCTGTTTTTTTTTCCTTGTATGAAGGAGAGGGAGCAGGGCTGGTCGTGGTGCTGATGGGGGGTAGCTAGTGCCAGGCACTGCTTTGAAAGGAAGGGATAATCCAGCTAGGGAGTGCCCACAAACTCCTCGGCACCTGGCTTGTCCCTTGCCAGTGACAGGCAGTGGGGATGTCCTGTGCCTCTCCCTGGGCATCTGCACAGGAGCCAGCAGGCATGCGGGCAGGGCACAGGCAGCTGAGGTGGTGTGGCTACCATGGTCCAGGGGTGCTCAGCATCCTCTCGCCTTGTGATACAGCTGTGCTACCCAGGGGTGAACTGGGACACGGGACAAGGATTGTACGGCTGGAGAGCAGCACCAAGGCCACGGCTGGGGCTGTGGTGGCTGGGCTGGGATGTGCCCAGCTCCTTCACCTCCAGCTTCTGCATCTCCAGAGAGGCTTCGGCACACGCTGCCCTAGATTTCACTGCAGCCGGGCTCTTGCCCAAGCCCTTTGCAGAGTGCTGAGGGAAAGAAAGGTTGCTGTCAGGAAGGCTGCGGCAGCCCAGAGGATTGGGATGATCTTCAAGCCCGGGAAAAAGATCTGGTAAGAAGAATGGTTTTGTACTGTACTCTGATGTCAGGCAGTACATCCGGCAGGGCTCAGCCATTGCCCTGCACAGCTGAAAGAAATGCCCTGGGGTCATGATGGGAGCTGAGGAGGGAAAGGTATTTTTTCGGTGGAGAGATGCTCAGTCCAGCACCTCTGCAGATCAGAAGCAAGGAGCAGGTCCTGATGGCCATGAGCTCCAGGGAGGCTGTACTGCTAAAGCAGCTGCTTGCTTGCTTTCCTAGGAACTGGGCATCACCCTTTGAGGGCCTGCTTCTGCCAGCTACCTTTAGGTTTTGAACCCATCCCTCCTCCCTGTTCCATGTCTACAGGGAGTGGGACTGTGGGTCCAAGACCGTATGGGTGGAGGGGGCTGGGGTCAGATGTGTGTGAGGATCACTGCGTCCACCTGCAGAGGGACAGCCTTGTGCTAGACCAAAGGAGAGCTGCAGCAAGGCCATCCATGTGTTACATGGGGGTTAAATAGCTTTTCCTTGCTGGAAGCTGGTTTGTGGTGAGCACTGCTTGCAGCTCTCCCTCCCTCTTGCCAGACAAAGGATGGGAAGGCAGGGGGAGGGGATGCGACTGTATCTGGGTTATCAGGACATAGTAGATGTTGGTCCCCACTACCTGAGCTCCCAGGGGACCTGTAGGGCCACCTCTGTCCCCACACAGGTCCTGGGAACGTCAGAGCATGAAGGGTGGTAGAGCACTAGTGGTGTCTGCTGCTGGCCACATATGCTGGCCTTCCAGGAAGAGGTTCTGGGGTGGCTCAGTGGTGTCAGAAGCAGGAGCTAGCTGGGACCATGGGGACCTCTCTGGGCACTCATTCTCATTTTACCTGTCCCTCCCTCAAAAGCTGTGCCTTCCCTTGGTCCAGTCACATGGAGCATCTCCTGTGAGCCAGACATTATTCCCTAAGTGCCCAGCCCAGGGCCACCTCCTGCCAGATCTGGGCAGCTGGGGGATATCACCAGCTACAGCCCTCTTAAAGTAGCTTCTCTTAGCACACAGAACAAAGCAGCAGGGAAAAGGGGGGCCTTGCAAACAGCAGATGCAGGTGGTTAACCTTGGCTATACCTCTGTTCATTATCAGCTGTACTGGCTGTAGTGCCCTCTCGCTCATTCATTGCAGGGGACAGCTGCGAGGGCTAGGGGATGTGCCCAGGACACAGAATGCCACCCCTTGACCAGCCACTCAGTGTGCTCAGGAGGCTTCCTAGCACGATTAGCTGTAGTGCACATAAAACAGAGCCACTCCCAGGAGAGCAGGCAGGCATGTTTCATGTCTCAGGGTGCCTCTTATGGCTCTGGTCCTGGTTTTGCAAACTCCAGCAGGCTGTTCCTCAGCTGGGTCCTTGAATTCATCTCTGGGAGGCAAAAAGTGAAAAGTCATGTGCAGAAAGATGAACCCCAGGCAAATTTCTGCAAAATGGGGGTTTCCCTGCTGAGGCTGTATGGGAAGGAACCCCGCACAGAGAAGAAGGCAAGTGACCTAGAGGAGAAAAGCAGGTGGCTTTCTCCTGGTCTCAGGGTTTTCTATAGCTGCCCAAGAACCTGGATCTGAAATATCTGCCCTAGTCACTGCAAGCTCCAGGCTCCAGCAATGAAGCTTGCAAAGGAATGGTCTTGTATTATGATGTCCACAGCAGTTAGCAACATCTACTGGCTCTGGGCAAGGCTTTCCTTGGTGAGATTGAGGGATGAATGATGAGCCTCTTAGTGAACCTTGAGGCTGACAGCAAATTCCCTCCTTCCTCCTCCCTGTTTAAGAACAAGGGTTGAAGGAATAAAGGAGAGGGCAACAGATTCCCTGAGGACAAGCTACCCCCCAGGCAGTGAAAGGGTCACAGCCCACATGGCCCATGTTCTGCACCCATCCCATGCAGCTGCTCAGCTGGGCTTTCTTCCCATCTTGACCTGTTCCCTTCTACCTTTGGGGTTTATTTGCCCCCATTTCTCCAGTAGCCAAGTGCCTCACTGGGCCCACAGCCCCCTGTCCCTAATTCCCTCATCATTCCATTTCTCTCTCTCTTCTCCCACTCGTAGGGCTAGGTAGGACCCCAGCAGGGCTGTGTGGGGTGTGTATGGAGAACGCTGCAGCAGCATAAGGGACACAGCACAGTCATGATAGAGGTGATGGGGGCAGCCTGGGAGAGGAGTGAAGGCTGGGGTGCAGGAGAACTGGCTGGCCTGGCCCCCTGTGCTGTAGCAGAGAGATGGGCTTTCCTGGCTCACATCAGCTTTGATAAATCTGAAAAAAGACAACGGGAGCCTCAAGGGGTGTTTCGTCAGCAGGAAAGGCACATACTAGTTGTGATGGGTGTGAGAGAGGATTGCAGCTGAGAAGCACTTGGTGTGGCAGGCTGCCTCCTCCAGCAGCTGCCTGGCAGTGTGAGGGGCTCCAAATTGCCAGTCTGACTCAAGCAATGGTCCATCTTGTGCTCTGGTTCCCCCAGGGTGCTGCTCGCTACTTCAGGAGAGGGTGATGATAGTCCAGGATGCCTTCACTCAGCGGGGAAAGGCAGGAGGGGGGCCATCCTCCCACTGACCTCTCCTGTGTGGACAAGGTGGAACAGAGGTGGCACAAGAGCCTTCAGATACTAGCCACAGTGCTGTACATGAGTGGCTGTGCTACTGTCATCTCACACACGGGAAAACTCCTTCTCCCAGTTTAATATAGAAGACTTCCCAAGCAGTGAAAAGGAGCTGGGTAGAGGCACCCTTCTCCCTGCCAAGGGTGGCCCTTTCACAAGGCCTTTCCTTAGCACGTGATAGTGGGATATTATAGCTTATAAAAAATGTAAAATCTTCGCTGTGTAGAGCAGCCCTTGTGTCAGCACTGGAGCTTTTATGTGGGAGTGCCAGGCAGGGTCCCCATTCAGCCATGGAGCCTGCTCCAGTCTAGCCCTGTCCTTGAACAAAATCTCTCTGACCTCTTCTCAGTCTGTCTCTGCCTGGCTTGACTAAGCTGTGACAGGAGCCCCACAACGGTGCCATCAATGTCACCAGTCCAGTGACTTCTGAATCATTTTCCTTGTGAAGAGGGGCATGTGTCACCGCCAAATGGCAGTCGCCTGCCTAGCTGCTCATGTCCTTTTCTGCTGCCAGTGGATGCTGATAAGTGGAGAAAAAAACTCTGCCAAAATGATGGAAAGGGATAATTTAGTGTGAGGTACTTGAACTGAAGTGGCATCCAAAACAAATGAAGTACTTACCAAGCAAAAATGCATTCTGTCTCTGTCCTGGAAAAATAACCCTCTAATGAGACAAAGCACGGGGGAGTCAAGTAATTAGAGTGGGAGAACCTCTAGTTTGCAGCTGGCTTGGATATGAAAGGTATTTGATTCCTATCCCCTTCATCTTCCTTTCCAGATTCATCCCTCATGCCTGCCTTCCCCACCAATTAGAGCTTTTCTTCCATGTCCTGTCCTCTCCCAACCTCCGCTTCCTCCCAGCGGGTGGGAGCTACTCATTAATGAGACAGAGATAAATGGGTGAGGCCTGCCCCTAGCAATGTGTGCCATCACCAAAAAAAGGGGCAGGGAGGCTGGAAAGCCCTCAGGGTTTTCTTTTTACCCAATTGTTTTACATGGAAGAAGTGAGGAGGGAAGCCAAGATGAGGAGGGAAAGATGCAGATAATTAATTTTCTGATCATGATGATTAGTTTCTTGAGCATGACAAAAAACATTGGTCTGTGGGTGGGAGGCAAGCGCAAGGATTATGGCCATGCTTTACTTCCACCACTGTCTTCCTCTGAGGAGCTCAGCCTGTGCACCACAGTCAGTAATGCAGCCACCCGTGGCAATGGCCAAGCATGCAAGTCCTCATGGTACATCCCAAACTCTGTTTCAATGCTAGGACTTGACACATGATTTTTTTAAAGTCTGTTCCATCACAAATTTTATGGTGAACTTGGAGAGGCAAAACACTGGTCATCCTGTTGAGAACTGGGAGACAAAAATAAGGAGACACACCTGGAGCATTGGGCACCCGATTATCAGCCCAGCCGGCCTTGCTGCCCCTGCTCCTGCTGTTTGGAGGGAGCCATCATTACGCTGCATTCTCAATGAGCCCCACTTCACCTCCTCATCTGGAGTGGGACATAGCAGAGTGTGCTGGAAACTCAAGTAGATGTTGCTCCATGATGAGTGTTACGACTAAGATCTTGACATTCACTTAACCTCCATAGCCCTTGAAAAGGCTGCTCAATGCTGCCCTCAGCCCCTGTGACAGGTCAGCAAGGAGGCTGTTGTTACACCTCAATGATGGTTTTTCAATCTTTGTCCCCATGCAGGATCAGTGGAGGGCAAAAACGAAGCAGCCATGTCTGAGCTGGTCCCAGAGCCACGACAAAAGCCAGTCGTACCAATGAAGCCCGTGGGCATCAACACCAGCTTGCTGGGCTACATCGGTATTGACACCATAATTGAGCAGATGCGCAAGAAAACCATGAAGACAGGTTTCGACTTCAACATCATGGTCGTAGGTAGGCAGAGACCAGCTGAGGAACTGGGAACCATGGCCAGGGACTGTCCCAGGGACTGAGGCCAGGTGGGAGAGCAAGCCCTGTTGGGAGGGCATGAGGGAGCAGACAGAAGTTGCTCTGAGGGAAAACAGAGCCTGCACAAGGCAAGGAGACACCTCCAGCCCCTTCCCCTGCCAGCCTGGCTGTGTTTCTTGGGCCTGCTGTGGGAATTTTCACAAGCTTCTTCTCTGCAATCCTCAGGTCAGAGTGGACTGGGAAAGTCGACGCTGGTAAACACCCTCTTCAAATCCCAGGTGAGCCGCAAATCTTCAGGCTGGAACCGGGAGGAGAAGATCCCCAAGACAGTGGAGATCAAAGCCATTGGGCATGGTAAGAGCCAGGCTGCTGGGGTGGAAGCAATACTGATGCCTCAGCATAGTTTTGCAGAAGATCCCAGCAGTCCACGCAAATAGTTCTTTGGTATTAGGCAGCCCTTTCTCCATAGGAAGCTAAAGGACAGTTTAAGATGGCCTCAGAGACAAACAAGGCTTTTCTTAATCTGAAAGGCCCCTGATGCCACAGCCAAAAGTGAGGGGTAGACAAATAGAGAGACTTCATCACTGAAGGCATTAGTCTGCAGTTGTGGATTAAGCCTTGCTGTAAGTAATTTTCACCTGCAGTTACATTTAATAAGCTACACAAGTTGCATTGTTGTGTCCCATCCCAAGCCTGGTGGTGCACACCTTCTCACAGAGCAGCAGCACAACTCCTGTGGTGGTGCAGGGTAATGAGCATCATCTCAGATTCAGGAGGATGTGTTAGAGGGAAGTTGTGTTAGGGTAGGTACTACCTTTGGGCCACAGACCAAGCACAAATCCATTTTCTGGTGACAGACTGGTGTAAGGTGGCTTTTGTGTAGATATTACCAAAATTTGGGATCACAGATGGAAATGAGGGCCATAACTGTTGAGGCATGACACAAGCTGGTCTGGTTATGCTTGCTGGGCAGGGATGAGGGCAGAGCTCTGTTGTTCCCTTGTGGGACACAAAGACATGTTTCACATCAGAGCAGGTCCCCAGGGAGGAGTATGATTGTTTGCAATTTTTCCCTCAGTCATTGAAGAAGGTGGTGTCAAAATGAAGCTGACAGTCATTGACACACCAGGATTTGGGGACCAGATCAACAATGAGAACTGGTGAGTTTTACAAGGTCAAGGCCTTGTGTCCCAGAAAGGGCTGAAGTTAGGATGGTGTATGAGTGACTGTCATCTGCTTGGCCCTTGAAAGCATCTGGGATCCTACTGCACTCGGGGGCCCATAATGGGGCTGTGGGACTGTGAAACCATGGGTCTGTGTGATTGGGGGTATGCACATATTACTTGGTGAATGCTTATTTCTGTGGCCAGTTACAGAATCTCTCAATCACCTGTGCTGATGGCGAGATGCTTCAGGTGGATTTTGTTTTTATTACCTGAGACTGCTTTGCTGCTGTCAGAGCTGGGATCACTGTAGGCAGGAACACGAGGAGATTTGTACCTGTCTATTCATCCCTCTTTCCCACTTTAACAGCTGGGAGCCTATTGAGAAATACATCAATGAGCAATATGAAAAGTTTTTGAAAGAGGAGGTGAATATTGCAAGGAAGAAACGAATTCCAGACACGCGTGTGCACTGCTGCCTCTACTTCATCTCCCCTACGGGGCACTCGTATGTACACAGTCCCTTGTCCTTCCTCCAGCCCTTGGTACCTCTGTGCCAGATATATACCCTACACTGCTGCACCTCAGACATGGATCCAGGGATCCTGCCACCAGGACTGGGCACTGTTTAGCTTAACTTTGGGAGCTGTGGGGCTTGAAAGGGTCTAAGCTTACAAGAGCAGGAGAAATGCCACAGTGTTTTTTGGGAGAGGACAGAATGGATGGGAAGAAGATGAGAACGTGGGGGCAGCAAGCAGGGTATGTACAAGGGAGGGTTCACTGGTGCCCTGGTGCTTGGACACTCATTAGGATGAAAGGCAAGGACAGTAAAAAGTGACCTGTTCCCTCTTGTTCCTTCTTGGGCTGCAGCTTGCGGCCTTTGGACCTGGAGTTCATGAAACATCTCAGCAAGGTAGTGAACATCATCCCAGTTATTGCTAAGGCTGACACCATGACCTTGGAGGAGAAGACTGAATTCAAACAAAGAGTGAGTCTCCTCTTCTGGATGGGATCCTTCCCTGCCCTGGCTTGGAGGTGGGAGAAATGAGTGGTATCCTTCTTCCTGGGATTGCAGTGCAGTCCCCAGGGTGTGCACAAAGTCCAGTGCTGGGTTGCTGGGTTAAGTCCTGAAGATGCAGCTGTTAATATCTCTGAGGGCATCTGTTAGAGAAGGAAGAAATGTGTGTGTCCTTGTGATGTCTTGTGATATGTTCTGTCATGGGAACTGGAGAGCCAGACAAGTAACTGAGGTTGGGAAGAAAGACTCATCATTGCTGCCTTGTGTCCTCACTTTACTGTGCACTTCCTTGGGACAATCCCTCCAGCTTCTGCCCACTGGAAGGGTGTCCCAGATGTGTTTGCCTGGCCTTGCCAACTGCCTTCCCTTCAGGTTTGTGCTGCTTTGTGCTCCAAAATGTCTTTCTCATTAGGTGCGCAAGGAACTAGAAGTAAATGGGATCGAATTTTATCCCCAGAAAGAATTTGATGAGGACTTGGAGGATAAAACAGAGAATGACAAAATCAGGGTAGGAAACATTTTATTGTGGGAGGGGAAGGGTGGATGAGGAGGGCACCACATTTTGTTCCACACTTCAGCATTATTGCCCTCACACATAAGAAATAAACTGCTTTTTAATCTCCATTCCTGTGGTAATTGCAGTCTCTTTCCAGGGATATCTGTAAAGCAGAGTAAACCTATGAACAGCTGCACAACCCTGTGAATCACAGAGTCTCCTGCACTCTGTGCTCTGGAAACAGATAGTTTCTCCCAGAGATAACTGGGTCCCCAATACCTTCCCCTACTGTCCTACTTCCCTGAAAAGCTGCACACTTACTCCATTTCTGGCTTTCCTCAGTATAATTTCAGCCATTAAACTTGATGAATGTTCATGTGGCTTATGGGGAAGGATTATTTGAGTCCCTTTCTATTGTAAAGAACTACAAATCTGTCAAGAAATATTCACCTCAAACTATCCATATGAGCAGCTCTGGGCTGATAGACTCTCTGTTGGTTATGCTAAAGTACTTCTTCTCTGGTCATCCCCCTCCTCAGAAATGCTGCAGAAAAGCTGTGCCCCAGCTCTGGACCCCTTGGCACTGCTGCAAGCTACCCACGCAGCTTGTTGGGGTGCAAGGACACCAGGAAAGCAAGAGTCCAGAATTCTAGGGATAGCACTGAGGGGTGAAAAGGACAGCCAGTGAAGTTTTGCTCTGGAGAATCTCTTCCCTTGGAGAAGGCCTTGTGTTTGTTGAGCTGAGAGGTGGAAAGGTGGATGGGGAACCATGGTGGTGCTGGTGTCTGGAATGGGTTCAATGGATCTTTCCACGTGTCTCTCCCCAGCAGGAAAGCATGCCCTTTGCAGTAGTGGGCAGTGACAAGGAGTACCAAGTGAATGGCAAAAGAGTCCTGGGCAGGAAAACACCTTGGGGAATCATTGAAGGTAAAAGACCTCTTGCTTATGGGAGCTGGAAGCATTGTCTGCAGATCACAGTAATAGACAAGGGTCCAGATAGCATGTCCTGTGGCTACCCTTCCCATCCCATTTGTGACAAACTGCTTGAAACCAAGCAAAAGGAGAATTCTCAAATAGTTGTGCCAGGAGGGAACTGCCATGGTCAATATGGTGCCACTGTCACGACCTGGCAGAAGCTGGAGCCACTCTGAACACCATGGTGTGTGAAGCTAAGCTCCTGAGGTTGCCTTGGTTTTCAAGTGAAAATTAATGTGTGACTGCTCAGCATGTCTTAGTGTATCTCCTCAATGCTCAGCAGCGTGGCGTTCAGACAACTGCCTGTCCTTCCTGAAGTACTTGGAACCTGCCCCCATGGCAGTGACTGTCCCATGCTCTATAACCACAAAGGGGCTGTTGAAAAAGATCAAATGTAATAATTGCTTGCTTTCTTTTCAGTGGAAAACCTCAATCACTGTGAATTTGCCCTACTTCGAGATTTTGTCATCAGGTAAGGTCATGGTCATGCACTAGTGTGCTCTTGACGAGCTGGGAGTCTTCCTGAGATCCAGTCAGAATGAAATAGCCCCTATTAAAAGAGAAATAAAGTAAATTTCAGTCAGTGAAAGCTTATATGGTGTAGGGTTGGATTGAGTTAAAGGGTAGATACTATAGTGCCTCTCTTAGAGACATGACCACTGTGTCAGGTAGGTGCTAGTTTTCATGTATGAGCTGGATGCCTGGGGAAAAGCAGGATACTACCACCCCTCTCAAGGTTGCAAAAACTGCCATTAAGGGAGTTTTAAAAAATCCCATTGTGGTTGCAAAAACTTTTAATTGCTGCTGACAACAGGTCAGTAATTAAGAGGTTACTACCACATGCTAGATTGTGTTTCCTTCCAGGTTGAAGGATGTGCTGGAACATATGAGCTGGAAGTGAAAAGGAAGCTATTCAATTAGCTTTCATTGTCCTGTCTTATTTCTACTCTGTTTCATGAAGTTGACTCAGCACAAATTCTGCAGGAGTGCTGTAGATCCAGAGTGACCTCTCTTGCCTCTATAAAAACAACACAAAAAATAAGAAAATAACAGAAACACAGTTCAAAACCAAAGCCCTGTGGCTCATTCCACTTGTGGGTATGGTGCTATTGAGACATTTGGCCAGGTACAATGCTTTGACATCACCCTACTTTCCTATTTTTGTTTTGTAATACCTTCTGCAGCAGAGGTGCTTTTCCAAAGTCTTTCAGTAAAAACATCCTACCCAAATGATCATCACAAAGCCTATAACAATCCAAGCCCCCAGGCTGTGTATGGAGGTTAGGGATGATGCTCACAGCAGTATTCTGCAATGAACCTGATACACCTCCTGGTGCTTCCTTGCCTCACCACTGCTTCAGATAAGCCCCAGTCTGCTGTGACACACCAGGATGGCCAGTGGCTGGGCCAGTTGCACAGGTGAGAGAAGGGCAGGGCACTGGCAAGCACAGCCAGGAATTTCAACCCATGTCCTGCATCCTGCCTGTGTGTTCTCAAATGCTGATGCTCTAGCTCTCAGTTGTGTATGATGGCACCCATGCTATCCATGCATGAAAGAGGGGTAACAATAATTAGCTAAACTGACTGATTGAAAAAATCTTCCATTTATTTTGGGGAATAAAATTATCATCAGAAGAATAATACTTACTGAGCTGATATTGGCTATCGTGTCCTCTTTCCCAACCCACTTTGTCCCCTGCAGGACCCACCTTCAGGACCTAAAAGAAGTGACCCACAACATCCACTATGAGACCTACAGGGCCAAACGGCTGAATGACAACGGAGGGCTGCCCCCCATGACTGTGGAGACAGAGGAAAACCACGAGAGTAACCTGTGAAAGACCCTCCCCCTCCACGGTCACCTGGTGACTCTGGCTAGACAACCCACCCCTGCTACCCTTGACTCAGCCGTGGGCCTGTCTCTGCAGCATGTGCTCCGTGGAGGGAGAGGATGCAAGTGTGAGTGCAGGCGTGCGTGTGCCTCCCTGTGTGCCGGAGAGGGACAGGGGCATCTCCCCCGTCCTTCCCAGAGTGTCCCCATTCTCGGTTTGTTTTTGCACAGTGGACTGTCCGTCAGCTTCCCTTCCCTCGTTTCTGTGTCTCAGCTGTGTATCTTGCCTGGGGGAAATAGTGTTGGGGGGGGAAGGATTTCTAGGGGCATGGATTTTGGAGGGGGGAGGTGTGGGGCATGCTGTAGTCCTGTTTTTATCACTTGGACACATGGCAAGGAGAGACTCTGGGAGAGATGGTGGAGTCAATGCATGCATGTTTCAAGAGATGTCAGCAGAGATTTCTCTTGGATCTCCATGGGTGTAAAGGCAGCTGGTTGGTCTGAGGGCATGGTGGGCTGGTATTTTATCCCCTTTTCTTGCTGTGGCTTCCCAAGGGGAAATGGCAGCTTGGAATAGGGTAGATGAGAGAAGACTGGCACGTTTTGTGGTTCAGAGCAAGTGACTCGTGGGAGGAGACAGAATTAGTTCTTGGCCTGTAGCATCTGTTTGAAAAGCATCAGAGTACTGGGGGAAAATGGATATAGTTTCCAAAAGAAGCAAAACCCAGGGGGAAAGAATGTGTTCCTGCTGCAGAGGGTGCATTTGCCCCATTGCTGGGGTCACCGCATGCCCTTGCTGCAATCCCCCAGTGCAGTGGTCTCTCTCCACCAGCACCGAGCAGGTCCTGGCCAAGCCTTCCCCACAAGATGGGCCCTCTGCTGTGCGAGCACAGGGACACTGCCACAGGGGGTCCTGCTGGGGCCTCCCCCAGGGACAGCTCCGCTCGGCACAGCACCTTGGGGATCCTGGAGGAGAGCAAACAGCCATGGATTGAGAAACACTGGGCTGGGGTGGGGGTACAGGAGATACCTCTTCCTCATTCTCCTCAAATGGCTGCATTTGTTACTGCAGCAGTGCTGTTCCTCTGCTCTCTTACTGTCCCATGTCCTCCTCCACTCCTGTGCTTTTGTCCTCATTCCCTTTTAGACCTCTGTAGCTTTTTCCCATCCTTTCTTTTCCTGTCTCACTTTCTCTGGTCCTTTAAGTCTCTCCTTCATTTCTCAAAGAACTTGAAAATTCCTCTTCTTCAGGCTGTTTCCTCCCTCTCCCAAGCTCTAACACCTTCTTAACAATGTGCTTTTGTGTCCTGTTGAGAAGCTGTTGTTTTACCTTTCCCTGGAGGGGATGGGGAGGGAAGGTAAAGACCTGTGAGCAGAAAGAGGCACAGCTTCACTGAAGACTACGTGCTTGTGTCTGGCTGGTGTGTCAGCCGTTTTCTGGGTGTCCCTGAGCGAGGTCAAAAGTGTCAGGGAGGGGAGAAGACCAGACATGTCCTGAGCTTGTCTCTGCATGTCACGTGGCTGGCAGGGGCTGTCCCCTCCAGGAGAGTTGCCAGCCACACTTAAAACGCACATGTGGAATGCCATGGCCTGGCATGGCAGCACTGCCAGCAAGGGGAAGTGCAGGAGCTTGGGATGGGAGTTGGAAAGGCTGGCACTGGAGAGAGGAAAACAGCAAATGAGGAGCAGAGGAGGACTTCAGCCCAACTTGATGTTGGTTGACGGAGCTGCATGGGGGCCAGGGCTGCAATAGGGCTCTCCATGCCTTAGCAGAACTGTCAGGAGCATCTGTCCGTCTTGTGGCTTTCTCTGGTGCTGTCACTGCAAAGCAAAGGCTCTCTTCACTCCCACTCCCCCCTGTCCACACACATCAGCCATTCTCAGCAGCACCAGGACGTGAGGGCCATTCCAGCACTCCCTAGTCCTCTCCCCAGCCACGTTCCCAGCTCCCGATGTTCCTGTGTGCAGGGTGTGCGTGCAGCCTGGCACACCTTCCCCCTGCACCAGGCTCCTCAGTCCTGCAGGGAACAGGAGCCTTGTCACCGGTGCCAGCAGCCGTACCACGGACCCTTGCAGAACCCATCCTGCCACGCTGCCACCCATCCTGCCCTGCTCAGCCCAAGGACATTGAAGACGTGACCCTCATCAAAGACACTGCCAGGGCCCTGCTTCTCACAGCGCTGAAGCACGAAGCCACATCCCATTGCTGTCACCCTGGGCTAGAGAACAGTAATCTTTATGACTTTTGGGCCCAGCCAAGCATTAGGGCAGAGACACAACGCTGCCCTGCCCAAAGAAAGCAAAGCAGACCCATGCAACAGAAGAGAGAGACTTTCCTTTGCCTGTAATGTGGATTTCAAGGACAAGGTTGTGTGTTTTGCCCTATAGGTTTAGGAACTTTTATCTCTTTGTAATAACGTGGTTTTTACACCCTGCTCTGTAATTTCTTGTCGGATCACAGACTACATCTAAAGGATCCGTAAAAGCTTGTGACAAAAACACGCTCAGGTACTCCTCACTGCCATCTGCTTGTGCCAAATATCCTACCAACATCCCGTGCACCTACCAGGAAGTCTACAAACGGCAAATACAAAAAAGAAAAGAAATCCCAGGCGGCACGACAACGGGAGATACTGCTGGGAAGAAGCCTCTGTGAATGGACAAGCCGGGAAAAGTCTGAATCGAGCGCCACCAGCTGAGCTCCAGGATGGGCACAGCAAGTCCGCTGTTCCCCTGAGATATCCCGAGGGGTGTTGCAGAGGGGCAGAGTCTAAACCTTACACCAGAGATGCCCACTCGGCGCATTCGGAGGCTCTCAAGCTGTTCAGCAGAAAAGCCGTTCGCCAGAAAAACTTTGCTGAGCACGGCAAATCCTGGACAACCTCCACCGAGGCAACCACGGCAGCGAACAGGCGTGGGTGCACTGAGCAGAGAGAGCCAGAGGAGCGAGCAGGGCGGCGCGTAGGCACCAGTGTCTGCGGTTCGTTGCGCGGGCCGGGCGGGCCGCCCCTCAGAGCGTCCCCGCCGGCAGCGGCGGCCATTAAAGCACCCAGCGCCGCCTCGCTTCCCTCTCACTTCCGCCTCGCGCGCGCCGCCGGCCGCCGACGCCGCGGGGGGCGGGGCCAGCGGGAACGCGTCCTCGGGGCGGGGCCACGCTGGATGTGACGTCACTGCCGTCACCGGGTCAGGGGCGGGGCCGGCGGGGCAAAGATGGCGCTGAACAGGAACCACTCGCAGGAGGGTGGTGTCGTCATCCCCAATGCCGAGAGGTACCGGGGGGCCGCGGGGCCGGGCGGGTCCTCCTCGCCCCCTGTCCCCTCGTCAGGGCCGGGCGGCGGGGCCCGGTGGTGGGAGGTCCCGCTGGGGCGAGCCCGTTTCCTGCCCGGCCGCGCTGGCCCGGCTCGGCCTGGGCTCTGCCTCGCTGAGGGCTCCCTGGCAGGGCGGGGGCGGGCTGGGGGCAGTGGGGAGCAGGCCTGGCTGCAGTCCCTAGGGCTGCCCCGTCTTCACCGCGGAAGCTCGGGGGTCCTTAAAGCCGCTCCCGCGGGCGTCCTGGGTGCAGACTGCGGCTACCATCGCTCGTAAAAGTCAAGGAATTGGGGTTTTTTTAAGGTCATGCATTTAGTGACGCCAGAGAGGCAGCAACTATTTAAGGTAGGAGTCTTGATCACTTGAATTCAAAGTTCCTCGGCGCGGAGAAGCGCCTCTCCATGGAAGCACAACCGGCTGCTCGACGCCTGCCCTCGCCCCGGGCGGGGATGGACAGAGCAGCTGAACAGACTGGGGCTTCAGTTCGGTCCTGCTGGCTGCTCCCAGCGTCCTGGCAAGAGAAATCCTAGAAACCCGAGGCCCAGTAAAGGATCGAAGTAAAAGGATCAGAGGAGTTGGTTTGAGTCTGGTGATCAATAGGAAAATTACACTCGAGAAATGTGCTCCATCTTGTGTTGAGCTTGGAGCTGACTCCTAATGCTTCAGTCAGGAAGGCCCTCGGATGTGTTGAGCTCATGCCAGTTTAAAGGAGATTTCTCCTTGAATCCTGGGCTGCACCAAAAGCAGCGTGGGCAGAAGGTCAAGGGAGGTGGTTCTACGTCTGTATTCCACTCTGGTGTGACCTCACCTGCAAGTCCAGAGGAGGCCAGGAAGTTGGTAAGAGGAATGAAGCACTCCTCTATGAAGACAGGCTGAGAACGTTGGGGCTGTTCAGCCTGGAGAAGAGAAGATTGTGTGGAGACCTTATTGCAACCTTCCAGTGTCTGAACAGGACCTGCAGGGGCAGGGGGCTCTTCATCAGGGCCTGCAGTGCTAGGACAAGGAGTAATGGGCACAAGCTGAAAGAAGGGAAATTTAGGCTAGACATTAGGAAGAAATTCTTTACTCTGAGGGTGGTGAGGCACTGGAATGGGTTGCCCAGATGAGCTGTGGATGCCCCAGCCTGGGCAGTGTTCAGAGCTGGCTTGGATAATGCCTTGAGCAAACTGATCTAGTGGAGGGTGGCCATGGCCATGGCAGGGAGGCTGGGACCAGATAATCTTTAAGATCCCTTCCAAGCCTTAACATTGGCTTGAGATCATAAAACCATACATTGTTTGTGGTGCTGCTCAGTCACAGGTGGCTCCACAGGGGCACAGCCTCCCGTGACAGCCCTGGACAGGCATGCAGGTGCAGACCGGTTCAGCAGCCTCGTTACTCTCTGTGGTGCTGGCTGCGTGGTATTTGCTCGTGTGAGTGGCTGCAAAGCAGTAAACATTACAATGACTGCATAGAAATTCTCCCCAGTGAGGCAAAATTATGTGCAATGCTGCTCCAAGACATGATTGAGGGAGTGTTCTGGTAAGATTAAAGCTGTCAAAAAGTTGGTTGTATTTAGCTTAGAATATGTTTCCCACTTGCATTTTGGAAATGGAAAGAGCTCTGCTGTCTCATAAATCTGTCCCTTCCAGCCAGTCTGAGAATCTGCATCTAGCTCAGCTATGAAGTAGTGTCCCAGTAGAATTTCTTGGTCAGGTTGTTTTTTCTCATCAAAGCTAGACTTCTCAACATCTTCATTCATACATCTGCAGTGTTCTTCTCTTCCCTAAAGAGCAGAATACCTGAGACTATAGGGCATTTGGTTGTTTTTCCATATGGTGGCCCTGAATATTCCTCCTTTCCCCAAATAATTGTACAGTTTCCTGAATTTGACTTCTGCAGTATGCTGAGCAGAATTTATAAGGATTATTTTAGATCCAGCCCATTCAGGGATTGTGGTTGGATTGTGTTGGTTTAGGGTTTTGTCACTTTGTTTTTTCATGCTCACCTTGGAGTCTTCTGCCACTGTAACATGCTGAAGGTTTATCACCCTCAGGGTTCTTTTGTTTATTCTGCAGATTTTCCTACTGTGTGGTATGTTTAGATCTGCACCATAGACTCAGTGACATGCTTTCCCAAGATGACTCTTTTTTTTTTCTGAAAATATATTTAATTTTTCATGCAGCTCTATACCCCTGACCCTGCAGCATTCACAGTTCTCATTTGGGTTTGTGTCATTAGGAAACTCTGCTAATGTTCCCGTGGATCTCCAACAATAATATCTTTATTGCTGGCACTGCCGACTCATTGCTTCATTCCTCAGCGTGGTGCTGTTTACTACAAAAGCTTGCTTCAGTCACGTGAGGCAGGGTCAGCAGTGAGGGTTTCAGTGCAGCCACTTCCTCAGTGTGCAATGGGTGTGGTGTCACAGCAGTGCTGTTTTCCAGTGCAGTGGACTTGATTTGAGCATGGACTGGGGAGGGAGAATTGCTCTGAGATTACACCTTGGCATCAAGGAGATGGTTTCTGACACCTCAGCCCTGTCTGTGCCCTGATTTTTGGGCTGAGGGTCTTCGTGTGTAGAGGAATTCCTCAGTGTGACACCTTTGGAGATAGAAACCTCCCTGTATATTAAAGGTGCCCTTGTTGAAGGAGGAGCAGGGCTTGTCTGAGATGAGAGGATGAATTCTTCCAGTCTGCATAAATCATCCCTCTCTGTTCAAAGTCAAAACCGCGGGGCCCACAGCAGGACTTTGGGATAATATTCAGAGTTCTGCTGTGCTATTCCCTGCCCTGTGTGATGAGGGTATGTGTTACCAAGTTTGTCTCTCCAATTTGTCTGATTTCTTCCTGCAGTGTCCTCAAACAGTGCAAAGATGTGGAGCTCTCCTTCAGTGACGTGACAGGCAAGCCTGAAATCTTCAAAGGCACCAAAAAAGGAATGCTGTATCTCACCCCTTACAGGGTAAGTCTGATGCCAGCAGGGTTGCTTCTTTCTCACAGGAGCTTGTAAACTTTAAACCAGAAATGTAGTTGATGACAGAAGAAAGGATTTTTATTGTGGAAGGGGCCACTGACAGCACTACATAGGAGAAGGAAAGGTGGAAATGGGATAGTTCTAGATACCTATTCATAGATACCTATGCCACAATCCCAGTCACCTACAAAGGCACATGCAGTCCTGGAAATCACTGTCTAGAGAATATATTTCACATAATGTGTCAGTCAATGACACTTCCTTTGCAAAGTCTCCTAGATTATCCTTAAAGACCAGAACAGTAAAACTCCATAAATGTGCAGGTGTGTTTTAAGTGGTTTATTATTTTGGAATGTACATGCCTCAGGTGAGTGAGCCATGTGCCGTCAAATCTGTTGGGGCTCCCCAGTGTTAAAGCTGTGAAATAATTCAATGCATACTCATACTAGAGGTTAAGTTACCCTCTTTTTGAATGCTGATACGGTGAGAGCTCCATCATCACTCTGTCTGTTGAATCCAAGTCATTCAGAAGCATTCCCTGCTGTCTTGCAGATGATCTTTGTGACCAAGGGCAAGGATCCTATGCTGTCCTTCATGATGCCGTTCTATTTGGTGAAAGGGTGCTCCATCGAGCAGCCTGTTTTCTCTGCCAATTACATCAAAGGACAGATCCAGGCCGAGGCCGGAGGTACGTGCCAGTGCTTTGCAAATGGAACTCTTCCCAAGCATCACAAGGCCATTTTTGCTGAGCACCAGACCAGCTTATGTGCACAGGAATGGCAGAGTAGCTGTCATGGTATAGCTGGTGCGCCCACACTGGGCTAACTCCCCTCTCCTGCACTTTAGGGCACTGCTGCCACGTTAATTCCTGCCCTCAGGCCAGGGACTGACTTGCCCAGGATGACTTTTGTGTAATTCTTTAACTTCGTGTATTGTGTTCACTCACTTTCCCAATGTGCTTGTTTTTCTCCTTTCTTTGACCTGAAAGGGTGGGTAAATGACCAAGGCACCAGCGCATGCTGTTGTTACACAGAATTGGAATTAGCCACCACTGTTGGTCTTTGGGACGTCAGGAGCCCCTTGGGTATGGTTTGCATGGATCTGGGAGTCTGCTGTCCATCACTGATTTAACTTTGATCCCAATTTGATAATGAAGCCGCAGTAACACTTAACAGAGGTGTTTATGACCAGACATGGGGAATTGCAAAAGATAAACAGGGATTGGGAACATGGCTTTTGGTTCAAATTTTTTCCCTCTTCAGCCTTTTCATGTGTGTTTTCATGGCATCTGAAGTGTTTATTCTTTTTGTTTCCTGTTTATAACAATATTTTAAAGTGACTGAGTTGTCTGGGAATTGTGGATCGGCTCACTTTCTTGGGCTGAAGTCATACTAAGACAGTGATTTTGTAGAGGTGAATCTCCAAGTGATCGACTTTATCCATGATGGACTCTTTTGTTATATTTCTATACTTTATTTCTACTGTGTCCCCAAGAAACTATCTCTCTTGATACTAATTTAATTGTTAGACAAGGAAGATAAATCTTATATTTAAATGACACATATTTTTTGTTAAAAACACCAAAACTCAAAGCACCTTCCACCAAAAAAACCACCAAATCCCTAAAAGCCCTAGGAAAACAAAGCACTCTTACTTGCCTTTTAAGACAGTGCCTACTTTATTTTTTTCCCTGAGAAATTGCTATTATACATCAGCATTTAATAATCTGAGCTTCTCTGTGTCAGTGAGATTAAAGATGTTGCATTTGATTTAAATCCTAGCTTGAGTTGCAGGTCCTGGTCTGTAGTTCACCGAGGATATCAACAAAACTTCATCTGAGGGCTTTCAGTTAATATCCTCAGTGAAATAAATGTTCCATCTTCACACTGTTCTTTATTAGGTTCCATTAAACCTTTCAGGAAAGAACAAAGCAGCCTTGTATCTAGAGTAGGCTGCTTCTACATGATTATACCTTTCAAAGGGTAAAACAATAAATTCCTGATCCTCTTGAGATACTATTTTGGGGTACCTCTGATAGCAGTGCCATAACACTTTCTTCCTGGTAATATGATGCAAAATAGTTTTGAAATAAAGAAGAAAATAATAATTGAAGTATAAACAAATTTGCTGTCTTGGATTCAATTCTAATTCTCTCTCCTAGGTGGCTGGGAAGGACAGGGGACATTTAAACTAACTTTCAACAGTGGAGGAGCCATTGAGTTTGGACAGCTGATGTTGAAAGCTGCTTCTAGTGGTAAGGGATTTTCAGATCCTGTGGTTCCCCCATGGCTGGCTGAGCTAGTAAGCAAATTGTGCTCGTTCTGAACTCCATAGAAAGAGGGAAACCCTAGGCCCTCTTCCACAGCAAAGTATTTTTTCTCTTTCCAGGGGAGCTTTTGGTTTCCCTTTCAATCCTTTTTCTTTATTTCATCTTAGTGCTTTGTGCAGTCAGAATGTTGTGGGGTTTGGGCTTCTGAGGTGGACCACCTTTTTGTACAGAACCTTGTTTCTACTGGAAAAAAAAAGTTGAAATATGTGATGGTGAAAAATTGCTTCACTTAGCTACTCTCAGTTCTAAACTAGTGCAGTAAGATGGGGAAAGCTAACGTGCACATTTGGAGAGGGGAAAAATAAGTTTTAAAAAACAAATTATTTTTAAATTTTCAAATGGAGGAACAAGAACTCTTTTTCTGATGAAGTTTTCTTTTTAAAAAAAATGGGTGTTTTAAAACGTACTTGTTTTCAGAACGAAAGTGTATTTATAAAAAGGAAAACATGCTGTACTGCTGCTTGCTTTAGAGTGGTCTTTCCTTCAAGCAGTGGGAGCTCTGTGGTGGGACTGGGACCTGTGAGGTCGTATTGTTGCAGCTGGTTTCCTTCAGCACTCTGTGTCTAGTGCCTTTCAGGCACAGCACTATGCCAGGACTATATAGTGAATCTACATAAGGGGAAACAGTGCTGCGTTAACAGGACTGTTTTCATTTTATACTCTACATTCAGTTTTAAGAACTAAAACTAAACTAAAGGTGTGTTCCTTAGCTTCCAGTGGCGTTCCTCTGCAGAACCCTGGCTATGGATACACCCCTGTTCCCGGAGGATATGCACCGGGCCCGCCTGCCCCCGGGGGCTACTCGCCTGTGCCGGGAGGCTACGCTGCCCCTCCGCCCCCCAGCGGAGCCTATCCCTACGCACCGCCCCCAGTGAATGCCTACGGACCTGCTCCACAGCCCATGGGCTATCCCTACGCCCAGGCTCCAGGTTTGGAAGCTGTGTAATGATGTCTCATGCTAGCTGTGAGGAAATGACAGTGGTACGCTGAGGGTTGCTGTAGTTTTGTCTCCATCGAGGAACCTTGTCCTTGCAGAAACCTGTCACGTGCTGTTGATCACACCCATGTGTCGCTGTAATTGTAGCTACGTGAAGTTGTGGTTTGCAAATTGTGCTGCTGCTTGGTAGAGAATTATTGCCTGCTGACATGACAGGCATTAGCAAATTATTAAATCCCTGGGAAGCCTGGAGAGCTTCCTTTACCACTGCTCTCGTCCCCAGCTAATGTGCTGTCAGGCCTGTGAGCTCTCTGTCCCATGGTCTGTGTCCAAAGCATCAGCCTGGTGTTGTCTTTTTCAGGTATTTACCCACCACTTCCAAACATGAACCCCATGTACATGCCACCCCCACCACCCTACTCTGGGGCACCTCCTGCAGGATCTTCAGCCCCCACAGCTCCCCCAGCCTGGGTGAGCCCAGGAATGCCAGGTAAATGGGATTGGGTGGTTGTCAGGGTCTGGCTGCAAATGGTGCCTGGGGGCTTGGGCTGAGGATGGCATGGGCACAGCATGGGGTGGAGAAGCTGTTGTTGCAAGAGCTCCAAGTCTTCTGTAGGGATCTGCTCTGCCTTGCACTGCACAGCTTGTGGTCAGCCCTAGCCAGCTTTGCTGAGCTGCTCTGAGTTCTAATCCAGCTTGCTGCAGTTCCTCTTGGCTCCTCGGGCCTTTGTTGCCTCCTTGGAAGAGGTGAAGCTGGGGAGAAGGCTCTGGGGCTAGGGCCATTGCCTCAGATATTTAAGGAGACTTCTTCTCCTTCCTTTCCAGGAGGCAGCAAGGCCATGGAAGCAGCTTCCAGTGCATATTACAACCCTGCCAACCCACACAATGTGTACATGCCCATGGTGAGTACCATGCCTGGTCTTCATGTGCCTACTCCCTCCTCTGTCACTAGCAGAGATGTGCTTTGCTTTCTTACAAAGTCTAATGCACCTTCATGTTGAACATGCACAGAAAGTATGCATTTTTATGGGAGGGAGGCTCCCATGAGGAAGACTGGTGAATTTTTCAGTCAGGAAAGGAGGAAGGCCTTAAGATTGATTCATTAACAGCCATTTACTTCCTGTCTTACTCCTAAAGCCATAACAGACTTGCAGGCCACATAGAAAACACAGCTCTCTGCATCCATTAGGCCTGAAAATGAGGAGAGTTAAAGCAGAATAGGTCACTTGAGGGTGATGGCATGTGGGTTTCTGTTTTGCTTTCTTTCTGGGCTAGGTTTCCTACTGTTCAGTCAGTGGCAGCCAGTAGGTTGTCTGTAGCCTCCATCTGGTACATGGCAGCCTGGCTGTGCCCCTCGCTGCCTTGCTTGGCTCTGGCAGACTGGAGACTGATGGAGCAGCAAAGCTGGCCCTCAGCCCAGGGTTTGCTCTCTGCTGGGTCAGAGCTATGAGCTTCAACAGGGACAAAGCCCTGGAAGGGAAGGGAGAATGGATTAAATGGTCCATTTGCAGTAGACCATTTGTTACCTGGTTTTGAGGGGACTTTTCCTAGAAATGTTACGGAGACAGCATTTGTCATGGAATATAGCTGATACTAGAGAGGAATGGTGTGATGAAATGACAGCTTAAACCATAGAACTTGGTTCTGTCTGTAGCTCACTGCAGGGCACTCATTTCTGGTGAGCCAAGCCTGGGAATGCCTGGAAAGAGCTGGTCCTAAAACAGGCATGGCTGTTGACTCTACTGTATCTCTTTCCAGGATCAGCCACCTCCTTATGCACCTCCTGAGGATAAGAAGAACAACTAGCAGAAGGAAATTGCAGCCAGCCTCCCACATTCTCTCTCCCTGAAGACAACTTGGCTGTTAGTACTCCTGAAGTTAGCATATCTCTAGATCTCTGTTTCTCTACAATAGATACAGTGCTGGGCAGCTGAGCACCTGCCCTCATTAAACACTGAGTCAGTGGCAACACGAGGCAGGACAACAGCACTTTCCTACTTACTTGCTTTATCTCATGGGGTCGAAGGACTAACCTTTTGCCCTGCCATTGGCTTGAAGAGAGAGATGGACTTATTAAACTGTATCACATGACTAATCTAGGACTAAAATATGAAGGCTCTGGGATCTTGTTGGAGTGAAACAACTTGGAATGCCAAACTTTTGACTTCTGAAGCACCATCCAGGAGGAAAGGTGTGGAGAGCTATGAGGTTCCCTGCACAGATCCTCTGGTGTCCTAGACAGGTATTAAATTTCCTTAAATTCTAGGGCAGTTCAGTTTGAGATGGGATTTTGGACATCCTGTATTGTGTTGGAAGTGTGTGGCATTCTGAACTAACAGTTGAGGGGTCGTGACCTTGGGAAGTGCATTTGAAGAGATGCTGAAACATTTGGCTATGAAAGAGGGAAGGGGATGGGTCCCTGTCTTTGTAGCCATTGAATAGAGAAGCAAACAAAGGTGTGCCTCAGGGCAGTGAGCTCATAGACTGGCAGGCCTGAGGATCAGTCTGTCTCTTCCCTGCCCAGGCAGGCTCCATATCTGTGCAATGATCCTGTGTCAAGCAGCCATGCCTCGAGCATAATGGAGTCAAGTGCTGCACAGGAGGCTGCCTGTCTTGGAGCAAAATGTGTTACATTAGGCAGATGACCTGGCAGTAGCCTTGTCAGGAGACAAGTCCTGCAGCCCTGGCTCCCTCTGCTGAGCAAATCTGTGCTGTGTGCTACCTCCACAGGGGAAAACTGGCCTTCATCTTTTCCTTCAGCTGCTGGAGCCAGGCTGTGTGTGCCCAGCACACACAGCAGTGTGGGCAGGTGGGCACTGTAATGCTAGAGCTGGTTGCTTACAGGTGCAATGCCCTTGGCTGGGAACTGCTGTCTGGGTGGGAGTTACTAGTGCTTGGCTCTCTTGCAGAGACTCTGGCTGCTCAGCCACAAGCTTTCCTTTTTCCTTAGGACATAGTGCCATTAAACCTGCTCTGAAGAGTCTCTAGTCTGGTGGAGACCCTTGTGATTCTTTACATATAGGGTGACTGTACTTCTTCCTACAGCCTCTGTACCTTCACAAGGAGGGGGAAGGAGTGTTTTGCCTCACCCCCCTTTGTGGTAGGGCTCTCCTGCAATTCAGGTTTGCACAACTTAAAAGTATGAATTCCTAAAGCAGTTCCACATGGGGGGAAGTAAGTTTCCTCATCTATAAACACTTTTTCTGACTTAGAGATATTCTAACAACTCCGTATTTAAAAAAAAAAAATCAACCATGAATGTTTGTAACTTTTTGAATTGCACTTTAATACAGGAGTGTTGATACCTTTATCTGCTAGTTCAGTGTTGTGTGTGTTGTGTTGACCTTAATTCTTGCATACGGCACAGAAGGCTGGAATGAACTACAACCACTGCTGCTGTTCCCTTGGGTCACCTATGGGTCAGTACATCCCTCTCCCTGGTGTGTGGCTAAGCTGGACCTGGAATCAAGTAACTGGGGGGAGTGAAGAAGGTGGGGCTTATTCCCTTGCTGCCTGGGAAGGCTGGAAGGGTGGCTGGTGCCTGTGATTTTGCCCAGGTATGCAGAAGTGGCACATGTTCATGTTCCATCACTCCTTGTAGCAGGGGCTGTGTCACGCTGCTGCTCATCACAGCTGCGTTCGTAGCACCTCGTCTGTGTACATTACACCAGAGGGGAGCCTTTGAAGTCTTTAAAAGAAATTCCTCACCTGCAATTCTGTTCCAGCAATGGAAAAATTAATATATAATAAGGAAAATGGCATTTGGCTATAGACTGTAAAATCTGTTTCCCCTTGTGCCAAGAAATACTGCTGCCCTGCTGAACATGATGTAACTACTGGAAAGCCATTTCCTACTCTGCAGCAGTCCAGTTTCTGACAGGGAACCAGATCTATTTCCTAGGATAGTTGTTCCTGTTTTGAGGTAATGACCCTGTAATCCTACATTAACCAAGCAGATATAGCTAGCAACACATGAAACAGTCTATGATCTACTTCCTTTTATTTCAATCAATTTGCCTCAATCACTCCCCAAGAACAAAGCCAGCTCCTTGTTTTGTTGGCAAGTCCTCCCTTATTAGAACTGCAAGCATTGTGTTCAGTATCTTGACCCTACACCTCAGAGAAAGTTTCTAGAAGGGTCCAGAATCAACCATTTGGTCCTTCAGGAAGCAGAGTGGACAGATGACCAGGAAACCTCCCACAGCTGAACAGAAATAGAGATAGAGATTTTTTTTTTTTTCCTAATCTAAAATGTGGTATTTCCCCATTCTGAGGCTTAATCTTGTGTCACCTAGAACTCTTCCATGGGTAGTCTGCTCTATGAAGGTGAAGCAGTTGAGGGCTTTAGAGTGTCCTGACACTCACTTCCAGTTTATTAGTGCAGGCTCCTCCTCAGGATAAGAGTTGTGGATGCAAGGGCCCTTGGGAGAAGAAGCCTTTTCCTGAGACACCCTGAGTTTTCAGCCTGCTGAAGTAGGATCTGATCCTCCTTTTAGCAGAAATTTTCTTCTAGAGAAAGAAAGATGCAACTTTCAGCTTGGAGGCACCTGTGACCAACTCCCAACCTCAGCTGAGTATCAGCATCTTCCTGCCAGCACTCCTACACAATGTGCTATGGCTCTGCAGTTTTTGGTGTGTACCACAGCACAGCTCCTGGGGTTGTGCATGGCTCATGGAGATTTTTGCTCTCCTGTAAACATCTACCAGAGGGACTTTAATACAATGCTAGCATGCACACTAGTAGTGCTGGCCTCTAGAATCGTGGCAGCAGGATCAGGCTTGCAAGAAAAGCCTCACTGCACAGCGCCATTATGCCTCCAAGAGCTCTTGGTCCTGGTGGGGATATGTGGGAGGGATGCAGCCCAGCTGACAGCTCCTCATCCTAAACCAAGCTGATTATAGCAAAAGAAAGAAGGTGACCAAGTCTGATCCTTGAGGTTAATGCCATCACACATCTGGGGAAAAAGGGAAAGTCACAACCCTAGGAGATACTAAAGCACCCAAAGCCTTTCTACACGTGTAGTTCAAACAGCCCCTGCAGCAGCCAGTAGTACCCAGCTCAAAGCAATGAAGTTCTCAGGTGTCAGAGCTGACAAACTTCAGTGGTGGTGGACTCTACTTATATGGCATCTTCCACAGGAGGATCTCAAAAGGCTTTGCAATCACCGAGGCACTACGCTCTGCACACCCTTAGGCAGTGGGTAACAAGAATTCCTGGTTTACGCAGACGGAGCAGACACCATCAAGCTGGTAGCAGGGGATGGTCAGTGCCCAGCATTGCTGGGCTCAGCAGCAAAAGGCACTTGTGCAGTGAAGAGCCACGTGCCCTGGGGTCTCACGGCTCACCCTGGCACTGCTCCACACCCCATCCACTGGGCCCTGTCACAGAAGGGCTGGGCGGAAACCTTCACCGGGGGCTTGCTGTCTGACAGCATGCCAGGGTTGTAGCGGGAGTTCCGTGGGACGGAGATACCACATCACCACCCCCGAGGGGTTAATAACAACTGAGAAGTTGTCTGCTGTTCTTAGGGCCCCAACGATCTTCCCGGCGTACACGTCTTGTACCTGAAAGAGAGAGATGGAGCTACCAGCAATTCCAGACCTTTCATCTTGGGGTCCAGCTGTGGTCACGGACATGGCATAGTGGGCCGGGGCACAGCAGTGGGCAACAGAAGAGTGACCCAACGGGCAGCTGCCCCTTCAGCCCAGAGGCATGGAGTGAAAGTACCCCCTCTCACCCTCCCAGAACACATAGAGATCTGGGAAGAGGGGGACCCATGTGCCATGGGACTGCCGTGCTATGCAGTGTGTCAGTGAGGCTCACCTCATACACAGCATCCTCAGGGAAGTGGAGCTTGGCCAGGCTGGTGGTGTAGCGGAAGGGCGTATCTGTCCTCCGGCTGAAGAACACAAGGGCGCTGGCAGCCTGCGACAGTGGGCGCAGAAACACCTCGATGTGGGATTTCTCCTAGGGGTGGGGATAGGTGTGTGAGGCAGAGTTGCCAGGAGCAGTGTGACTTCTGACTTTGCCCTGTGGGGCTGCTACACCAGCAGGCCCACGATTCCCACAGCTCTCTTGCTCCTCTTTCTCTGCATCGCTTCCCTCTCCCTCCTTATTCTGATATTCTGTGCTACTTCTGTCTGCTCTCCCAAAGGCATCTGCTTTCCCCCTAACCTTGACAATCCTGCGCCCCTGGATTCCCAGGGGGTCCTGGTTGATCTGGATCATCAGGCGGTTCTGCAGGATCTCTTTGGCACTGGGGGAGATGGTGCGGAGATCCGTGGACATGAGGAGCGGAGCTGCCATCACTGTCCACAAAGCCATTTGGGAGCGTGACTGCTCGTAGCTAAGGCCGAAGTTTCCAATGATGAGCTGGAGGGGAGATGGTGAAAAGATGGAAGTAGCAGAAAAAGGTTAGAAACTTGTCTGCTTGTCACCTGTGGTGATGCTGCTTCCTACTGGGACGGAATGCACAAGGGAAACCTCACATTCCCCTTAAGTAGTCTACCACAGCCACTGGAGATCTCATCCCTGCCAGCAACTTACACTCAAATACGCTCATTAACACCCCTTGTTTCACCACTATTTGCCCTCGGGCCATGCAGGGAAGGACAAGAACACCTGAAGAACTTGAGAGGTAAATTCAAGTGGTGAACAGTTCATTGCAATTACTCTGGTTTTTCCCACAGCTTAGCCAAGGGCAACACCAGCTTTGCCTCTGCAGCAACAGGGCTCCTGCTCCTGGAGCTCTTCCTTTGCTCTGCCCCTAGAAGGGGATCCCTGAAGATCCTCATCCCCAGACAGGGTCAAAGCACCCATCACCCAGCCACACCATGTCTGGGTCGTTCCAGTGACCGGGGCCAGCTGCCGGCTGCAGCACGTCCTGGTTTGTGAAGAACCAGTCCACGATGGAAAGTACACTGTCCCAGGAGTCCTGGATGTCATCATAGTTACGCCACAGGTTGCAGATCTCTGCCAGGATGGTGTAGTTCACCTGACAAGGAGAACAGTGTCAGGCACGAGAGCAAAAAGAACTGTTCTGCAAGGTGGGAGAGGCAGGGCAGCACTGCTGAATTGCTGAGAGCTGTCCAGCAAGTGTGTAACAGACAGAGGAATCTGCAGAAGGGCAAGGAAGCAAGACAGAGTCATATCCCACTATGTCTGGGCACACCCCAGTACTATAGGATGTCTGGCAAAAACAACCACAGAGGCCATGGGGAAATCTGATAACCTATCAGCTACAAGAATGAGAGCAGCTCAGGACTGACTCAAAAAATGAAAGATGAAATACGTGAGTGCAAGCAATTCTCAAGAAACATATACCAGGAAGATTATCCTATTTCAAGCACTGAAACCAGACAAGATTGTTTCACAAGAAGACTGTCAGGACCAACCCCACACCATCTGAGTAGCGTAGAGAGGATACACTCCAGAGCCTTCTTCCCACAAACTCCCATCTCCTAGCTGTATTGGGACCCCCAAGTGTCCCCAGGTGCCTGGCAGGAAGGCCACATTCCCTCTGGGACCTGCAGCACCACCCAGGGGTGGAAAATTAAGTGGGGTGTAACACCCGGCTTGTGGTGCTCCAGCAAGAGCTCCTCCAGGGCACAGGGGACACGGGAACTTGCCAACAGATGGGAAAACCCTTACCTTGGGGGGAAGACCCCCCTGATATGCTGGCCAGCTGCAGGAGTAGACAATGGGGCGGCCTGTGGCATTCAAGGCCCTCGCCATTTCTGGATATCCTTAGGGAGAGAAGATATCAACCAGTGAAGGGGGTGCTGGCAGCAGCCCATGTCCCAGTAGCAGCCTTTGTCCCAGCCCACCCAGCAAGGGGAATACCAGGCTAGCCTGGCTTCCTTCCTTACACCAGCTCCAGGGCACACGAACTCCCGCTTCTTTTCTCAACATTTGCAATAGGAGGCACAAGGGAAGAACTGGCTGGCCCAGTGTTGCTGCAGAGGGCCAGCTGCCCCAACCCAAGCAGTAGGGGAGGAATGCCAGAGGCTGGTGAACTTTTACCCTTTGCCTGCTCCTCTGCGGACGAGTAGCACCCATCCAGCTTCAGCATGTCCACACCCCACGCTGCAAAGGTCTGGGCATCCTGATTCACATTTTCCAGCATGGTGCCTGGGTAGCCCCCACAGGTGAAGATGCCCAGGTCACCATAAATGCCCAGCTTCAGGCCCCTGGCATGGACCTGTGGGGAGAACAGAGCTGCAAGGAGCAAATGAAGGGATCCAAGGTGTCTCCCAAGTACCAGAGTCCTCTTTTCCTTCCCAGCTCTCCCACCATACTGGCATGGGGAC